TGGTATTTGGAGTTTATGTATTCTTTAACCAAAGGCCTTTACATAACCAGATACTGATACATTCTTTAGTGAAATTCTTGAAGCTTTGGACTCAACCACTGCTTCTTGCAGTGATGTGCTTGAAAAAAATGTCAACTATGTAGCTGTAATGGAGGGTTGTGGAGTTGAGGTATGTCCATTTTCTCAAAGTGACAGACTGGTATCAAGGTCTAGAGTGACCTCCATCAGGGTGCTGGCTCCAGCTTGAACAATCCTGTGGTGACATCAAAATGTTGGCATCTATATTTAAACATTTTTCTCTTATTGTCATTATTGCAGAGAAAAGCTGAAGATCTGGCATGAATGAATCCCCTACAGAGATATCTGCTGGAGTAAGCAGAGAACTTTAAAGCTACACGAGTTGAGAATTGTCTCATTCATTTTTCATAGGTTATTAATTCTGAAACCTTTCTGTTGCCTACAGCAGAGGAGTTGGATGTGTAAGGGAGAAGTTCTCCGAATAATAGTCAGAGACTTGATTTCTGAGAGCACAAAGAGGAAAAATGCAGCAAAATCCTTGTTGGAAGGAGAGATACAAAAGTGTTTAAAGAAGCTTGAGAGCAAAAGAAACACACAAAGGGTTTACAAGGCTGGAGTTAAACAGAACTAAGTAGGATTTAGATATGTACTTAGAAAAAATAATCCTTAAAAGGAAGAGAACAACCTCCCTTTCCACCCAAAATCAAAAAAGAATACTATTAAAATGTTCTTAAAGTTGTTCTTAAAGTATTTAGTTTCTTTTAATAACACTCATGATACATTGGGCAGTCCAACATGATTCTGTGTGTATTGGCAAAGCACAGTAGCTTTTTGAATACTCAGTCTTCATCTAAGTGTGTTTCAGACCTACGTGTGATAAACCTAATTTGCTAAATATGGGAGGTTGATCCACTCTATATCACAGCAGGATTTCAGGTAATAAATCAAAATAATATAAAGGTGTTGGGCTTCTTCTTGACTTTTAATTGACTTGCTGCATTTTTCTCTAAAGTGTGATGTTAATGAGAAATCTCATTGTCAGGACCCTTTTACTGAAATATTTGTGAAATACTGAGACTGCTTTTCTTCTAAATCCTCTGTACAATCTACATTGCCATTCAATTTACTTTGGAAAATTATTGGGAGCATCCAGAAATAAAATCCAAGACCAGACCTTTTTTCCCATATTTTTTATGATATTCTTGTTCAGGTATCCTGAATGGGAACATCATCGAGAAACACAGGTTTCAACAGCCAGAGTCTAGAGCAAACTAATCTGGCACTGCTATTCTGGGCAGTCAATCCTTTGTGGCTTTAGGCAGACAGAGCACATGATCTTTCAATCTCAGTTTCCCTTTCTGTAATATAGAGTGATGAGAATAATTTCATTCTTATCTGACACAATATTTTTATTTACTCTAGACAGGTGAAATGGTATGGAAATAGCCTTAATGAGGTCTGTTCAAAATCAGAGCCTATCTGTCATTCATCTTTTAACTGTTTCATTTTTTTTTAGTGAACAAACTCAGTTCATAATTGAAGAGACCAAAACATTTAAAGGTTGGATTTGTATTCTGGAGAGTATTCAGAATTTCAAGAAAACTACCCCCCCACTGTTTCATTATGAGAAATATTCTAAAGGCTTTCCAAAAGTTTTGTCTTTTTGCAGAACCACAGTCTGTTTATTTCTTCATGCCAAAGATGAGGTTTGGCACAGGATTGTCCCACACCCTTGCCAAAAGCTCTCCTAAGAGCACACTCAGTTAGTTTATATTACTACTTTTGAGAAAGGAAACATTAAAGAAACCATATTTTTAATACAGTATAAAGGTCCTCTGAAGGCTGAAAATGCCTCCCTCTGGCCCCACCTCACTGCAAAGGACTAGGGGAAGTGAGGGAAAAAGGAGTCCTACAGTCAAAGAGCTGCCTCCGTGTGAGGCCCGGGAGCTAGGACAGCTTTGCTCTAACCCTCATTTCCCTGCAGGCAGGGAAAAAATTTTTTCAAAAATTGCTTCTAAGTGTGGTTGCCCAAGTCGAGACAACCATGGCTTCATTTTCAGCAAGTCTGGGCACTCTAAACACCTGTTGATTTTACAGTGACTGTTCAAGGGAAGAAGGACCTAGGATGCCTCCTGCCAGTGTTCCCAAACTACTGCAAGTGCAGAGTACCGAGGGCCATGTCTGTCCCTCTCCCTCTGTGACCCAGTGAGCACTGGTGCATTGCCTCTGCAGCTTCTGTAAAAGGTCACTAAGGCTATGGTTATCCTATTTATACATATAAATAGAAGTTACATTTAACTTGCATTTTCTTTGCTCTGAAGGTGGTAAAACCTCTAACTGGTGTCTGGAACCCTGGGCCTTTCCCGGTTACCAAGAATGACACAGCAGGCATATTCTTTTACTTTTGACTTTGGCATTACCTATATATTTGGGGAAGAGAGACTTGAGGGATCTGCTAACTATGCTGCAGAAAGGCTGCTGATCACTAAACCATTTCATTTAAATACAGAGGCTTAATTGTTTTACACTTCTGTGAAATCTTGAAGTCTGAGATAATACATAATTTAAACATTGAAGGCTATTGTCATAGAAATGCCTGAGTCTGTAGCCATACTATGCACAGAGTGAGAGAGCATTTCAGGTGATTGTAAGAAGATTTTTGCATTGTAAAAGAAAAATGTGTGTGTGTATCCATGTATCTGTGTATCCATCCATCCCTTCACTCATCCATTTTTCCATCCATCAGAACTCAGATTGTACTTTTGGAAACTGAAGCCAGATGTTAAAGCTCTCACCCAGCTGAATATTTCCCTCCTCCTGCAGGTGTCCATTCAGCCCTTTTTTTGTCTATAGGCTGCATGGGGCAGGCATAGTCAGCTATCAGAAAGAAAGCAAAAGCATGGAAGATACTTTTTTCCATTTGAGTTCCCCATGCCATATGGCAGCCAAATTTTCTGTATTTAATTTTCAAATATGCTTTTTTTTTTTTTTTCTCCCTAATGAAACTGCCACTTCCAGAATTTCTTATTCAACCATCTTGTTCAACCACAATGCCTCTTCCCCCTAGGGATTAGTCCAAAGAATTTCCATTAGGTGGCTGAATACCTAAGTGTTAGGGATGTCTATGCAAAATCTGCATATCAAATTTCAGTTCCCTGACTTGCATGGATGGGATCCTTTTCTTTTCTGTAAGCAGAGCTGTCTTTGAGACCTGTCAGAGTTGAACCGATGTGGATCCAGCTTCGGGTTTAGGGCCTTTAAGACTTTTTAGTGAAAGTTAACACCTGAGTTACAAAGCACTTCTACTACGATATGAAAATGAAAATACTCAAAGAAGGACTTATTTTAAAATCTAAAATTATTCTTAATATTAGTGTTTCTGGAGACAATACAAGTGAAAGTTTCAGCGAATAGATCTTCCTGTCATAAATTCACAATGATACTCAGATGTCAGTCCTTGAAGAACTTTGTCTTTTTTCTGCTGTAAATAGATCTTTTGTTTAGTTAACCTGCTGGAGAATGTAAAAGAAAATTAACATGTTCTGTATACTCAAGGAGTGAGGACTGTTTATTTGTACCTTCTGACTGCCTGTGTTTTACAGGCCAAAAAATATTCCTCTGTCGCATCTGCATTGAGCCCAATTCTTTCATGTTTGATTAAAATGTTACCTGCAAATGTAAACTTGTGAGCACAATTTCTTTTCTACTCATGTTCAATTTGAAAAACTGTTACTCGGAGCTCAGAATGAATAAGGTGTTGTTTTCTATGGCACTGGATTCTCTGGTTTTCCAACAAGCCATGAGCTCCAACAGTAGATTTTTCAGTAACTAGGAAATTCCTGATGGCTCAATACTAGTGGATTCTCTTAAGCCTAGTAGGTTATGTTCACACTGAAGCCTTTTATCTATTGGGACCACTTTTAAGGCCATCCTGTTCACCCATCCAACAATTTTCCTGCAGCATGTTAAGAACTTAATTGTTTCTGAGGTGTCTGCTTTTATTAGATATAGTTGAAATTGGTGATGGTGTCCAAAAAATTATTGAAGGGGTAATATGCATGTGACCACTCATGAAGACAAAGCTTATCTGTATAAGATTTGTTTCCCTATGGAATCCGGCAACTACGCTGTCAGATATATCTGAACCCCTATAGATTGTTAGTGTTCTATTCTTACTGTTCATTAGAAAAGGAGAAATCATCAGATGCAGATAATCATGCAGTTTTGTCAGACATAAAACATCATTCCCAGAGGATATCAGCAATGACCAATGGAGCAATTTCCCTCTGACATTCTGCCTGTTTCTGGGGTTGTTTTGCATCATGGTGGATCTTTAAAAAATATGTTTAAAATACACTGCCCTGATAGACTGGAAAAGAGAGTTAGTAAATAGTTTAATGTTTGTCATATTTTCAAAGTACTTCATCACGTCAACAGCCAATAGGCAGAATGAAAAAGAAATGGTGAGACTCTGTTTTTCTTCACTTCTGTTTGTGTTTGCTATATCTGAAGATGCTCCTAGATTTTGTTACAAAAATACTTTTCATTTAGAAATTTGGACCTCCTCTGATGTAAGCCCCAAACATTTCCATTTCTAAGTGCAAGAAGTTGATCCCTATGTAATTATGCAGTGGTGCCAGGTTCTAACCACACTACCTTACCTACCCTAGTCCTTTGGCAATGTTTTACTTGCAACAACTTTATATACCAAACATGTTTGTTTAATAAAAATGTTGTTATGATAACTATAAACAACATATTTTTTGTATGACTAATGTTTTCATGAAGTTGGTTTCATTTTCACAGGTCACTGCTTCCTTTTCCAGCCTCACAAACAGTTTTCTCAATCATTTTGGGCACTGAGTTGGTGCCTCAGCACTTGGATCTGTGTCCTATGATTTGATCTTTTCAGAGTGTTCTCCTATTTGTCCCTGTCCATGTGCTGTTTTTCTGACACTTTTTTCCTTCTTGTGTCTCTTTATGACAGTGTTTCTCCATGATGTTCTTGTTGAAAGAGGTGAGATATCCAGAAAAAAATTAGATTCTGTGTGAAAAAAAAGAAGAAGCTGACCAATAAGCTGCCTAGAAAGTAAGTAATTTTTCTTCTTCTAATTCCTTATTTGTGTGCGTATGTTGCTATCTTAAAATCTACATTCATGATTTTATCTACAACATAAGACATATTTTGTAAATGAGCTTAAACACTCTATCAAATTGTAATTACTCACGAATAGTCTCTATTTATTGCTAATGATATGCATCACACTAACAGAGTTTGATATACTGATTATACAAATAAAGTTCATCTGAGGTAACAGAGTTTATTCCTTTTTCAGGCATCCAGCCTGGGTCTCAGCTGCAAAGTAAGTACCTCTCCACATCTCATTACCAAAATAGCAACCTTCTTAATCCTTTGCTGTGAAGAACAAAGGTTCGATTCAGTCTCTGGAGCAGAAATAGGATCTTATTAATGCACTGGCAACTACAGTGTTGTTATTTTTGTTAGAAAAGGGAGAAACAGGAATTTGCTGATATATGTTAGATTAAGGGCTGTTATTGTTTTGAGATTAATTGGATTGTTAGCTGGGCCTTTCTGATGTCAGTTGAAAATCTACAAAATACCTTGTAATTTTATATTCTGGATGAGTTCAGGAGCTACTTCCTGGAAATTCACTTCTATTCTTTGTATCTGTTCTGAAGGAATCACTGAGGGTATCAGTTAAATGGTGTATTGTTTACTGTGCATGGAGGAAAGTTCTTGTGTCACTCTTGCCTGGAGTGCTGATTTTTCTGACTCAACCCACTTGCCATTCAATAGATTAAAGCTGATACCCAAGATATCAGGTAGGTACCTCGTGCTAAGCCTTTGTGGAGCACTGACTCAGAAGAGGTCTGTGCGTTAGCTGAGTGTCGAAGTTTGAACATGTTACAACTGACGTACGAATTCACATTTTGAAGTGTTAGACCTCCAATAATGTTTTGTGGAGCCTTTTCTTTCTTTTGAAAGATTTGCTGTCATGTAGTGTTGGGCTGCAGTGGACTGTAGAATTTGAGATCCCTGTGGAGTAGACTCTGTCTCTGGCAGCTCATCAGGACAAAGCTGAAATTAGGATTGCAGAAAAGAGCCAGAGGAATTCCACTTGGTGAATTAAATGTTATTGAGCTTGAGGACCTGGAAAAGGGTTAGGGATGGATCTGGGTGAACTCCCAAATTGGTATGAATGACTGGCATAGAAGGTATTGCTTAGAGCAAAAATAAATGCAGTGTAACTGATCCGTTGAGACCAGCAAACTGTTTCTGGAAATGACTGATCTTGATAATTCTCGGCGATAGGCAAATGACATACTCCAAATTACGTGTGGTCCATTGTGTAATTCTGTGTGGGTGTGGACTTTTGCAGGTTATTGGCCTATGCCATCTGGCACAAAATGTGTTTGCTTAAGTCTTAGCATGTAGAACTTTGGGTGTTTATCTTCATGTGTATGTGAAAGGTTCAGGGTTAAGTGAGGGAGAACTATCCCAGAAACTGCGGTCAGCAGAAGCATTCTGGATAACTGTTACCAGGCCTGTGTACTGTCACAGAAAATGAAGACCAGTAAGATGGCATTTGCAGTGAACCTCAATTCTCTGCTTCTATTCCTCATGGTCAGGACAAACCCTGTGTTTGGCCTCCAGGAGATATGACAAAGATATGTCTATTGATGACGAATGTAGGCCAAGACTTGTGGCTTGAGCATGTGGACATTTATTTGGAAATTGTAAAAGACTTCTGAGTATACTCTAAGGCAATCATGTAGTATTAATTGCTATTTTATCCTGATTGTCTATGTCCCCAGAAGGCTTTCAGTATCAAGGTTTGATACAACAGGCACGTTTGAATTACCAATAGGATATTTGGGGCCAAGCCTGTTCTCTGTTATGCCACTGTAAAGCTGGGGTAATTATATTGAACTCTGAGTGACAGGGGCAGAGCTAGAGCAGGACTGGACCTGAGAGAGGAAGCTGTGAGTGCGTGTGTGTGCCTTGGGCAGTGAAACAGCTGACTGAAGAAACAGCTCATGTACCGCTTGCATTTCTCCTTGATAGTTTCCAGCTGTCCTCTTATCCTTGGCATGCAAAATGACATTAATTAGTTTCAGCTTATGAAAATAAGCAAGAGACAGTATGTGTTACACACCTTATAGTGCTGCACATAAACAATGGGCTACATACAACAAACTGTGATTAAAATGCTGAGTGACATCATTGTTATTAAGCCAGGAGCTGAGTAAAGAGAAAGTTCCTTTGGCAAAGTAGCCATAGGCTAGATGGTTTCTCAGCTTGTACAACAGAGGAAGATGTTTACATGCAGGAGATCAATGTGTATTGCACCGGGACCATGAATGAGAGTGTCACAGACATCATGCTTTCATCATCACAGGTCTTTTAGTATTAACTGAGGCAAGAGAAAAGAAAGAGCTAAATAGGACAGTAAAAAAAGAAGGTAGTGTTGTTTTTTTCTCCAACCAGTAAGCACATATTTGTAGAATATTAACAGTTTTGGGTGTTTTTTCTTTATATTTATTGCACATTTTCTGATTAGTGTTCCTGGGTGGCTTCCTCAGAGCATATGAAGAATAAATAGACATAACATGTGTTCAAAGAGTTTGCACACCTAAATTTTCCCACCTGTTAGTTTATTGTCAAAATGAGAGATATTTTTATGCTGCCGCAGCAAGACCTGCCACTACCTTGCTGCCCAGGTTGGTAGGAAAATATTAGCAGAAGTTGACTGAAATCAAGAGATACAGTAGAAAATGCATTAAGCAAAGCAGGAAAATCACAATGTCTTAACACCATTGCTAGTCCTAATGGCTAGACAGATTTTACTATATCAGGTGAACAGCTACAGGCTCTGTCTAAAACAAATTGGAAATTACAAACTCACATGTAAGTGAATATTAGAGGCTTAGCAGACAAAGTTATGCAAAAGTTAGGATATGCACGGATGCTGCAGTCCTGATTGAAGAGTTTCTGTGAAAAGCAGAAAGAGGTGTTGTCAGGTTGGTGTTGCCCAACTAGAAGTGTTGTATAAGCCTGGAGAAATTGTCCCTATGATCTAAAAATATAAATAATAAATGAACTACAGGTAATTGTGTGGACAATAATGAATCTGGACAAATATACTACTGAAAAACGATGCCTGATTGCTAAGATTATTTGGTAAATGAATGACTTATTGGGGTCAACAAACAATAAAATTAGATGAGCTGTGGCTGAAATGTCAAACAGGTATTTTGGTTTAGTTCATAAAATGTAACCATGATGAAGTTCTGTTATGAGGGGACCTTTTTGCCTACGTGTGTGGGGATGGTAGAAGAGGAAACTGAGAAGACAGCAGAAAACCTATTTGGAAGGATAGAGAGAACTGGCTTGTATGAATTTTCTGTCTTAGACTTGACTCCTTATGCAAGCTGAGATCAGAAGTGTTGCAGATTTTCAAGGTAGTTTCCACTTAATTTGGGGCATTAACCTAGGTATGCAGGTATGCACTAGGTAGAGGCAGCAGACAAACTTACTGTTAAGTGTTTTGCTATAAAAATGGCAGGGGAAAATTAGCCTGAGATCTTGAAAGGTGAGTAAGACACATGGTGGAACTGCACAGGAGACTGGGGCTGTAGGTGCAACTGAATAAGATTCAGAAGCAAACCAGTTTTTAATTCTCTATGCTTTTTTACTATAAAAAGATAAAGCAATAGGATTTGTGTGCCTTGTAGAAAGTGTAATTCTATCAAAGCATCAGATTTTTATCTCATTTCTCAGCTGGGTGCAGTTGTAGGAAATCTCATGTGTTGGCTGTGTGCCATGATCTTAATCAGAGGGATTTCAGATTGCAATGCTGAATTCAAATCTGTCTGTCTCGTCACTGAGTAACACTTTGTGAGGAGCTGGTGTTCCCTGGGGACCTGTCACCTTGCAGAATGTAGGAAATTAAATTAATGAAAAGAGTTTGGTTGAGCACATGTTGATTTTATATTTTCTTGAGGAAGGGAATCCTGAAGGAACATGTGCCTCTGCGCAGGAGAGCACTCAGTCTTCTTGGTGGAGCAAGACTTACTGTCAAGTTGGGAAAGTGTCAACAAGGAGGAGTTTTGATACACAAAGTAAGTTATATCAGTCCAGAAAGCAAAGGAAGTTTCCATATTCCGATAGGCTTTTCAAACTAGTGAGCAAGGCCAGCCTTTATTGGACTGTGAGAATATTGCACAAGATTCATCCTGCCTTTCTACTCCTAACTGCTTGAGTCACTGAAGGTATGTCTACTCAGGATTTGGCTGGCAGATATGAACTCTATGAACTCACTCTGTCTGCACTCCAAGCTGCCTTGATGAAAGCTGCCTGGGAATGGGAAGCTGTGTAGCCATCGTTAACTTGAGGCTGAGCCTGAACTAATTGGTTCTGCTGGGAAGCAGGGTATATTAGCTTGGGTTCAGTGTTAGAGGGCTGCTGTTATAGGACTTCAGAGTCAGAGCTAGTTTCTGTCTGGGCTTCTTGGAGCACTTGCAGAGAGAATTGGATCTGTTTGCAAATCTGCCATAGAAGTACATCCTGAATATGTTAGAAGGGTTAGACAGACATGATTCAGAAAAATGGTGTCCTAAAGACTGCCCATTCTTTTTAAAGGAACGTTTGAGTAATAATCCAGTGCCAAAGTCCAGCTTTAACAAACAATCTGCTTTCAGATGCATTCTGTCAGGTCTGATGATTGATGTATGCTAGTTTTAGTGGGAAAGACTTAAAATTGTATGTTTGAATGGAAACCCAGCTGTTCTGTGGAAAGGACTGTGCAGGCATGACAAATGAGCACCTTGCAGTAGCAGCTGCCTGAACTAAATGTCTCTTCCTATACAGTCCATTGCACAAACCACTTGCTCTCTTGTTTACAATGAATGGAAAGTGCTAATGACAACTTATTTATCTGGTGTCCCAGACTCCCAAATCACTCAGGTCCTTCTGAAGATTCTCTCTTTCAAATTACTTTCTATAATTTATTTCCATGCCTCTGATTTTCAGAAAAAAACCCAAACCTGTTCCCTAAACAAAATTCATGGGTATTTTAACAATTATTTTGTCCTTAGCCTCAGGAGCCCATTAGTTGCTATGTTCTTGAAGCAAATGAAAACAATGCATTCTGTAGGATATAAAAACTATTCCTAAATGTGGCAGTGGATCACTGCAGTCATTAGATTAATACCAACTATTATCATCCAGGATGCTCATCTGTTTTTACTGAGCTTTGTTAATGAAATGGAAATGTATGATTAAAGTCATCCTGTCTGTCCCTCTAAAGCTGTGCCTGTGAATGAGTCACTGTTTTACAAA